TTAATTTATACAGGTTAATCCCAATGAGCCTCCGGGACTCATTTACAAGAGACCTGGTTTTAATCAAAGAGTGATGACAACAATGGACAATCGTAAAGAATGTGTACAAAATTGAAAAAATGAAATGTTTAAAAAATGTAACAAAAAAACAGCTACATTGTAAAGCGATGTAGAAAACTAAAAACAGAAACGTCTGCATTTTTTTTTGCCATGAACTTAACAGATGTTTGAAGTCACTTGCATAGATCAAGGTCGAGAGCTTCAGATATTTTTGCAAGATATTCCAGGAAACAGCAGCAGAGTAGGAGAAGGCCCTTTTGCCTAGTTCAGTCCTCACTGAGGGAACACTGCAGGTAATAATGTCCTGAGAGCGCACGCTGTAGCTGAACTCACACACAGACATGTAGGAGGAGCTGTATGAAGGCAACAGACCAAGAAGTGATTTAAAGATTAAAATGTACCAGTGGAACAGTCAGCGTGAAGTTAATGATGACCAGTTAACCAGTGAATACTGGGTACAGTGGTGGGTACGATAATCACAGCCAGTTATGAATCTTAGTGCACCATGATAGACAGCATCCAACATCTGCAGGGTGCTTGTAGGAGCGTTCATGTAAATAATGTCACCGTAATCAGTGGAGGGAAAAAGTTGCAGTCGCAAGGTGTTTCCTAGCATTCAGAGTTAAACAGAATCTATTTCTGAAAAAAAAAAAAAAAAAAAAAAACAGTTTAACTTTGTTTCCTAAGCAAGTTTTCCACATGGAGCTTAAAAGAGATGTGAGTCGACCAAGATACAAAAAATATTTGTATGAATCGACGAACTTAATAGGAATGTCATTTGAGGATAAAATCAAAGGGAAAAACTGCTCAGACAGACTTCCTGTTTGAAAAAAGGTTCTTTTTGGTTTTGATTACTTACAGGTTCCAGATCTGCTTTGATCTTGGAAAACTTGTATTTGGACCAGTGCAGCCAGTGCACTTCCTTGAATTGAATTACAGCATGTCTCAGACAGATTTAGGATGAGTAAATGTTCTGAATGATCCTTCGCCAGATTGAGTCTAATATGGATTCCTCCAAGTTCATTTCTCACCTGATCCTTATGGTTGAATTGTTTCTGCAGTGATTTTCTCCGGTTGTTTTTTATTTTCTTGTTGGAACGTACAGAGCAATAATACCAGTGATGTCAGATAGCATTTGCTTCATTTCAGGTTGCAAACATTTACTACTACACTCACCGGAGAAAATCACTGCAGAAACAGATTCACCCATAAGGATCAGGTCACTTATCCTCTCTTCCATCAACCAAAAGTGGAAATCATTAGCATTTGTCATATAACTTGCTTTCTTTTTTTTTTTCTCAAAATGAAATAGCTTAGCACATGTGCTGCAGCCAGCTATGGTTTCTTCTTCTACTCTTTTTTTTTTTTTCTGCTGGGTAAACCACAACCCATTAAGCCACCTACTGGCAGTTTCTGATAGCAAACACAAAAACAAAATTAAAATAAAGACAGATTTTCTGGTGCAATGAATTACAAGAAATAAAACAATGGAAAAACACACAAACAACTTCAAATACCACAATAATAATAATAATAATAATAATAATGGACACATATTTATGGGGGTTACACAGTGTTAAAGAGTCCAAGCTGGTCTCATGGTATGAACTTCACTCTCACCTATCCAACAATAACATTTATGAAGAGTTTCAATCTGGTTTTCGCCCCCACCATAGCACCGAAACAGCTCTAATAAAAATAACTAATGACCTTCTCCTTGCTGCTGACTCTGCTCTTCTGTCTATCCTCATTTTACTGGATCTAAGTTCTGCCTTCGACACAATCTGTCATTTTATCCTCCTCAACAGACTAACCTCCATTGGCATCTCGGGTACTCCGTTAGACTGGTTCAAATCATATCTCTCTGACCGCACTCAATTCATTCAGCTCAAATCCTTTCGTTCACAGTCTTCCCCCGTCTCTACGGGTGTCCCCCAAGGCTCTGTCCTCGGACCCCTCCTCTTCATCATTTACCTCCTTCCTCTAGGTCACATCTTCCGTAAATTTGGTGTCCATTTTCACTGTTATGCTGATGACACACAGCTCTACCTATCAACAAAACCAAACTTCACCCACCCACCCTCCATCCTCACCGACTGTCTCAATGAGCTAAATCACTGGTTTTCTAACAATTTTCTACAACTAAACAGTAACAAAACAGAAATCATTCTTGTCGGTACCAAAAACTCTCTTTCAAAATCAGAAAATCTTCTCATCCCCCTTAACAACTCCCTGCTATCCCCCTCGCCTCAGGTCAAGAGTCTTGGTGTCTTCCTCGACACCACTCTCTCCTTCACTTCACACATCAACAACGTCACTCGGTCTGCCTATTTCCATCTCCGATATATTAACCGTCTCTGCCCTTCTCTCACACCCTGCTCCACAGCCATCCTTGTTCACAGTCTTGTGATTTTTCGGATTGACTACTGCAACTCCCTTCTTTATGGCCTCCCCAACAAATCTCTCCAGAAGCTACAATTGGTCCAGAACTCAGCTGCCCATGTCATAACTCAAACCTCCTCCTATAACCACATCACTCCTGTCCTGCAGCAGCTCCACTGGCTCCCGGTTAAATCACGCATCGTCTTCAAAATTCTTCTTCTCACTTTCAAAGCTATCCACAACCTTTCCCCTTCGTACCTATCTGACCTCCTACTCATCTCCATCCCCTCTCGCTCTCTCAGATCCTCCTCTTCACTACACCTCCATGTACCCTCTGCCCGCCTCTCCACCATGGGGAGCAGGGCCTTCACCTGCTCTGCTCCTCATCTCTGGAACTCTCTATCCCCTGACTTAAGAAACACCACCTCTCTTTCTATATTCAAAACTGCTCTGAAAACACATCTCTATAGACTCGCTTATCCTTAACTTTGCTGTATGTATTTTATATTCTTTACGCATTTTATATCCTGTATGTATTTTATATTCTTTATGTATTTTATATTCTGTATGTATTTTAAATTCTTTACGCATTTTATATTCTGTATGTATTTTATATTCTTTATGTATTTTATATTCTTTATTCCTGTTGATCTTTGTTCTTACTGTAAAGTGTCCTTGGGTGTCATGAAAGGCGCTTTTTAAATAAAATGATTATTATTATTATTATTATTATTATTATAACTGAGCAGTGTACAGATCTGGCTGAGGCCCCCCCCCAGTATCAGACCTGCGTTCCAAATTCTTAACTACAAAATGTTTAGAGGAGTACAATGGAAAACAGTCAGAGCTAGACCTCACAAAATGTCTCAGCTGTAGATTTCTGAAAAACTGTGACTTGTGAATATTAAACTTCTGCACCTGCTGGCCAAAAGAGCCAAAGTTATCATCAACATAGAGATCATATATTGAATGTCCTGGACATCAAAAGCTGTATCAGCTACTGAGGGAGTAAACATGATTATTTGACACACGTGCCACAAACAGTAACTCTGTAGAGTTAAATGCCCTCGTGAACTGATTCCAGATCTTAACTGTCCAGATCACAACTGAGTTAGAAGTGTAGGTTGATACTGACTGTCTGAAAGCAGCTGAGAGCAGAGTAATGCAGAGGGGGAGCTGGATCTGAGGCCCTCTCTAAAGCCACCCAACTGGGAGAAGGAGTATCCTTATCTAACCAGAATAATAGAGCTCTGATATTAGCTGCCCAGTAATAGAAAAAGCTGATATTTTTAGTATTTTACACTGCTTTATAATATATAGTAATATAGTATAGTATATTATAATGCATAGTATTTTACGCCGCTTTATAATGTAGATTTTTTTTTTGTTGCTGTTTTTGTTTAATTTTAATTTTATTTTCTTCTAATTACTTTTAATTTTATATGCTTGTTTATATGACTGTCTATTGTTGTTGTTGGGCAGCACGGTGGCGCAACTGGTAGAGCTGCTGCCTCTCAGCGAGCAGGTTACCATGGTTCTAATCCCGGTCCGGGGGCCTTTCTGGGTGGAGTTTGCATGTTCTCTCCGTGCATGTGTGGGTTTTCTCCTGGTACTCTGGTTTCCTCCCACAGACCAAGAACATGCATGTTAGACTGATTGGTAACTCTAAATTGTCCCTAGGTGTGAGTGAGAGAGTGAATGGTTGTTTGTCTCGTTTGTCTCTGTGTCCCTGTGATGGACTTGTGACTTGTCCAGGGTGTCCCCCGCCTCTCATACAGTGACTGCTGGACAATGGCACTACTAGTGACCAAAAGAATGAGATTGCTGATACAGGTGGTTAAAATGAGTTTCCTCCGCAGGGTAGCTGGACTCTCCCTTAGGGATAGGGTGAAAAGTTCAGTTATCTGGGAGAGACTCGAAGTGGAATTGCTGCTCCTTCACATCAAAAGGAGCCAGTTGAGGAGGTTAGGCATGTCCGACTGGGAGGAGACCCAGGACACGCTGGAAATACTATGTCTCTCAGTTGGCCTGGGAACGCCTTGGAGTCCTCCCAGAAGAGTTGGAAGAGGTGACTGTGGAAAGAGATGTCTGCACCTCCCTACTCAAGATGCTGCCCCTGAGACCCAACTTCAGAACAAGTGGAAGATGATGGATGGATGGATGGATGGATGGATGGATGGATGGATGGATGGATTGTTTTCCTCTAGAAAGTTATAGGATATAAAAAGTATTTCAAAACTCTTGCAAAGCATAGCTGAAGTTCTAATACTTGACTTGTCAGAGCCAGAACAGACATTACAACAAAATGTAATGATCAAATTGAAGAGGTGACACTGAAGGAGAACTTTTTATTTACCGTAAATAATTGAAGTTTGTTCTGATTGGAGCAGAACGAGGAGGAGGAACTCTGAGCTGCTGTCCAGCCTCCTGATCTGTGGATAAAAAGCTCCAGCAGCAGCTAAAGAGCTCAGAGGGAACAGAGGGCAGTCCCATCTGGGAACCTTAACTCCAACCAGGTGATCAAATTATCTCTGATTCATTGATTAGATCCACCCTGCTGGAATCTAGAAGAGACTTCTGACACTCCACTGTGCTGTGGTCTGGTGAGTCGTCAATACAATTCCAAATATTGTCTATACTATAAAAATAATTTAATGTTCATCACAGTTTGATGGTTTTCTGTCAACACGAGGTTGTGTTGAAATAAATCTGATATCTGGACTTTGGCAACGTGATGATTTAGGGCTTTTTAAAACCTCTGTATAACAAGCACATCTTATCTTTTATATTTTACTAATAAAAAAAACAGCCATTAGTAAAATAGGCTGTTTTTAATTCACAACACATTATTGAACTTTTAACTTGAAATCAGTTTCTGATACTTTGAAAATGAGCGACTTGATAAAGCTTGTCTTTCATGTTTAACTTTACAAACTCAACATTTATGATCATCAAACAGACGGAGTAAAACCAGAAAAGATAACGTATGAACAATAAACTGAGCATTGCTTCATAACTTTCTTAGTGTGAGGGATTTGTTGCAGCATTGTTAAAAACTGACGGTAGAGCAGCAACTTTATTTAAAATTTTATAACTAATCGGAGACATCTGGAAGCTGGATTTGAGTTTTTTGCGATTGTTGGCTGCACACAGCTTCATCTGATTGTTGGACTCGAGGAGTGATGGAGCTAAACATCAGCTTGTTCTCCCACCAGCTCAGATCATATATTCAGCTTTTATTTCTACACGTTAGTGTCATGGAGTCACCAGGACTCGTACATGCTCTCACTGACTGCAGTTCAGACTTCAAACATCCATCTTTTCTGTTGGTGCTCATAAAAAAGAGAAGTTTGCAGAAACGATGCCATGTTTTCTGAAACGTTGCTGGAGAGGATTGTCCCTCCCAAACGATCTGTTTCCTTTGGACTCTGCCCTTCCTCCTTTTTATTGTTGGCCTGAAGTCAGCAGCAGTTCATGTTTTAAAACCTGCCAACTGTCCCAGTTTGGTGGGGACAGTCCCACATCCTGTATGAGGAACCAGCGACACCCAAACGTGTAAAGTGGTGGCTTGGCGTGTGTGGTGCCTGAGTTAGAGGGGGGATCCCCTCGGTTGCATCATGGGCGTCCTGCAACCATAAAAAGTGTTTTTTATATCACAAACTATCCCAAAATGACGGTGATGCAAAGTGAGGTGTCGTGTGAACAGAAGGATAAATCTTCCTGTTAATGTTCAGGCATGTTTATTTATTGATTCAGCCATCAACTATTATTTATTATAATTAAAATGTCTGCTTATTTTATTGAATGTTGCTTGGGGGGTTGGTTTTTGTGTGTTGTGGGGTTAATTTAAATGTCTAAGCAGAGGTCACAAACCTGTTGGAGACTGAGCTCCTCCAGTGGGCCGGCGTGGCACAAAGGACTACTTGTCTGATATAAACATGCATTTACACGGCTCACCTTTAATTACAGTATAAATAATAATAAAAGTACATGCATGTAAATACATGACAGCCTGATGACATTTTAATGTGAAGTCACAGTTTCTTAAGAAACTGGTCCAGATGATGCGATTGAAACTTTTTTGTTGTCATCTACCTGGATGATTGAGCTTACAACCCTCTTTTTTTTTTTTTTTTTTTTTTTTTTTTTTTTTTTACTGCTCACAGTGTTGATCATTGATGATTTAGCATGACAGACGTGATCAATCATTGATCATTAGAACAGCAGGGCTGATTTCTGCTGTTGCACAGACTTTGAATTCCTTCTGTGTGACTGAGTTGTCCCTACGTGTGACTGGGACTGTGGATGGTTGGTTGTCTCTTTGTCTGTGTCCCTGTGATGGACTGGAAACCTGTGCAGTTGTCCCCCTCCTCTCACACAGTGACTGCTGGAAAGGGGTACCAGTGACTCAAAAAGGAAGAAGTGGATACAGATGATGGATGTATGGTTGGATGGATGGATGGATGCTACCCAAACAGAAAACCTTGGCTGAATGCAGAGGTGCGTACCCTGCTGGAAGCCAGGAATACTGCCTTCAGGTCTGGAAACTTAGAGGAGCTGAGTAGGACAAGAAAAGAGCTGGTTGCTGGTATTAAGAAGGCCAAGGCCACATATGCACAGAGGATCGAGGGTCAATTCATCTCACAAGACCCTCGGAGCATGTGGAGGGGCATTAAGTGCATAACAGATTATAAAAGAAGGAGCGAACAATGCCCCAAAGACCCATCTCTGCCTGATGCCCTCAACAAGTTCTATGCACACTTTGAAGACCCGAACAGACCACCCAGCACCAGACTCACCTCACCACCAGATGAAGAGCTTCTCAGTATGACCTCAGCCGAAGTAAGGAGTACCTTCGGGAGGATTAATCCACACAAAGCAACTGGCCCAGACAACATTCCCGGAAAAGTGTTGAAGGAATGTGCTGATCAGCTCTGCGAGGTGCTGGCAGACATCTTTAACACTTCACTTACCCTGGAGACAGTTCCCACCTGCCTGAAGACTGACGCCATCATTCCAGTCCCAAAAAGCTCTAAAGTGACTGGTCTGAATGACTATCGGCCAGTGGCCCTCACCCCGATAGACGCTAAATGCTTTGAAAAACTGGTCATGACTCACATCAAAACAACCATCAACATCAACGAGGACCCTCATCAGTATGCATACTGTGAGAACCGATCAACAGAGGATGCCATCTCCTCTGTGGTCCACACTGCACTCAACCACCTGGAGCAAAACAATTCTTACGTCCGTATGCTCTATGTGGACTTCACACCTGCCTTCTACACCATGATCCCCCAAACCCTGATGGACAAACTATCCACACTAGGACTACGCCCCTTCATTTGCAACTGGGTACTAGACTTCTTAACAAACAGACCACAGATAGTGAGGATCCACAACTTCTCCTCCTCCACCATAACCCTCAGCACTGGCTCTCCTCAGGGATGTGTGTTGAGCCCCCTCCTGTTTACTCTGCTCACATATGATTGTGCAGCTACCCATCCAGGCTGCCACATTGTAAAGTTTGCAGATGATACAGCGGTGGTGGGATGCATCACAAACAATGATGAGTCCAGCTACAGGCAAGAGGTGGAACACCTGGAGAGCTGGTGCAAAGAGAAGAACCTTCACATCAATGTGAAGAAGACAAAGGAGATGACTGTGGACTTGAGAAGGAACACAAACATCTACACCCCCCTGAACATAAGAGGATCTGCCGTGGAAGTGATCTCCAGCTACAAGTACTTGGGTGTACACATGAACAACAACCTCAGCTGGAGCAACAACAACACCAGCCTGATCAAGAAAGCTCATCAGAGACTCTACATCCTCAGACGGCTGAGACGAGCTGGTCTGAGAAGCTCAGTCCTCACCTCCTTCTACAGGTGTGCAGTGGAGAGCATCCTGTGCTCCAGCATGAACGTGTGGCATGGAGGCTGCACAGCTGCAGAAAGAAAAGCTTTGCAGAGAGTGGTGAAGGCTGCACAGAAGTCTGTTGGAATCAGCCTCCCCACCATCACATACATCTACACCTCCAGATGCAGGAAGAGGGCCACCTGGATCATGAAGGACCCCACCCACCCAGCACACACACTTTTTGCCCCACTCCCCTCAGGAAGGAGGTTAAGGAGCATTAAGTGTAGAACCACTAGACTGAGGAACAGCTTCTACCCTGAGGCTGTTAGACTCATGAATCTCTAACTAGAATAATCACTGTGAAAAACCATATCATGTTGCTGCTGATCTGTTTCATGTTGCTTCTGATCTGTTTCAATATTTATGTGTTCATGCGTGCACATCTGCTCACAGACTCATGTTCATGTTTGTGCTGATGTTCAATGTTTTATGTTATGAGTGCTTAGTGTATATTTAGTTGATGTTTTTCTTAGTTCATATCTTAGATGTTATTACTGTTTTTCTTATACATTTTATTGTTGGATGTAACTGGGACCCTGTGTACATAATTTCACTGTACCACATGAGGTGCGAATGACAAAGAAACGCTGACTCTCTCTCTCTCTCTCTCTGATACAAATGGGTTAATTCCTACTTAACTGTCAATTAATATATTTGTAAAATACACTAAATTTCAAATGTTCCTGATTGAGACTAACATAAAAAAATGATATGTTTAATCTTTAAATGTCTGTTTCCTGCTACAGTAACTCATCCATCATGTCACACTTGTTCCTGATCAGAGTCGAGGGAGGGCTGGAGACTATACCAGCTGACTTTGGGTGAAGCTGGGGGATACTTGGACAGGTCTCCAGTCCATCACAGGGACACACAGAGACAAAGAGACAACCATTCACTCTCTCACTCACACCTAGGGACAATTTAGAGTTACCAATCAGCCTAACATGCATATTTTTAGTCTGTGGGAGGAAACTGGAGTACCTGGAGAAAACCCACATTTGTAACATCCATCCAAAATTCACCTTTTTCTTATTGATTACCAATTTCATTAACTTTTTTAAAGAAATTAACAGTAAAATCTTTAAAAAGCCCTGTTTTCACTAATCGTTTTCTTTGTAACACTTGAGAATAATAGTAACTCATTTAGAAATAAACTAATTTATGTAATATAAAAAACAACACAAGGATGTTTAAAATGGCATTGTGACTGATCCTCAGATCTGCAGAATTTTAAACAAATCCTCCCATAACTTACTGCAGAATCCTTTCCCTTTATTCAACATTGCTTCTTTCAAGACATCTGAACTGCCTCATGAAGAAAGTCTGCTGTTTGCTCAAAGCTACCTTTTAACTCTTGCACTTTGCTGCCATCGTGCTGCCGGGCAGGAAGGAGCTATCATTGCTACTAAGTGTCTTTTGTCATTTCCCAATGTGTTACAGAAGCACGATCCATAGTGTACTTCCAGGTCACATGGATCGCCATTGTTTATGAATAAAAATGCCTTAATTTACTTAGAAAAGTACGTGCTTTATCTCCACCGATCTTGATGTAGTTAAATTATGCTACTTGTATTTCTGTTACAAATCATTGGTTAAGATGATATGCAACGCATTAGACCTGACCCCCAGCCTGGGCTGAATGAGGAAAAACCCTGCAAGATACAGAATGAATTATTTCCATGGT